ACCGCTGAGCCAGACCCTTAAACCTATTATTTTCCTTGCTATCTAATTCTAGTGCACAGAGTTACATGATATAGGTGGAAAAGAATCTTTGAGATGCTTGCTCGGAGCCCAGTGTTTAACAACAAGCTTTGAACAAGAACTACGGTTAATTGAGCAGATGTGTATGTAGATGATCCACACAGATAATCATACTTGAGTTTCTCCTGTTGCTGTACCAGTAACATTTGATTCTTTACAGATATTTCATCTCAAGTTATTTTTATCAACACTACAGAGAGAACTTTGGACATTTTAGGTGAAGTGGGAGTAAAGTCCACAGGGCTGGGGCTTACTTGGGCATGAGATAGTCAAAAGTATCTTTGAAGTTTCGGTATCAGATATTTATAGATAGCTTACCTATCTGACTCATTTTCAGACTTATTTTTAGTAGCTTTACTGAGGTATAATTTATATTTCACCCATTTTAAGGTCTGTAATAAATTTATATTTGGGCCACCATCCACTGCAGTCTAGTTTTATCATTTTTGTCTCCTGACAACTCACATTTACTTCACTCGTGAACTCAAGAGAAGCTTTATTTTAGAAAGGTTTTGCTTTGGAGAAACTCCAGGATAATGAACCAAAAAAAAATCTCTATCAAAGCTCTGGTTAGCAGAGCAGTTGACTTAGCAGTAGCGGGGCCTGGAAGATCGGGCTGGCATTTGTGTCTTGGCCTCTCTAAAACTTAACCTTAAGATGAAAGAATCAGTTGGCACATTCTGTGGATAGAATTCTGTCTTGGGTTCTCTCTTGGTGACTTACATAAAAGTATGTGTAAGTCAGGGATATTTGTGGAAGGACTTCTATGGATAAGCTGATAGAGAATGGGCGGTGGGATCCAGGCAGCCAAACAGAAGAGGTTTAGACCGGTAGATATTCTCTGAGGTCCCTGAATACCTTCCACCTCTATGGAAATGGTTATATATGAAACAGGAGTTTGTGTGAACAAATTGAGGAACCTCCTGTTCTTATTTGTAAGTGACACAGACACAGGTGTCTGGCTGAAGGACATCATTTCCGGTGGTTTCAGAAGAACCCTTAGATTACCTTTCTTAGATAAAGTATAGAAAACTATTTCTTACTAATATTTCTTCTAGGCTATACTTCCACCCTTTTTAAAAAGAGGCTGTACAACAAATGGAGTACATTAAGGAAGAGAGTCATAATGCATAGCGCTTAGTCATATAAAGGAGCAGCAGAAGCAGTCTGTAGACCATGAACGCTAATGCTTAAATATTATTTAATGAGAACGACAGACATTCTTCTCTTGTAAGACGATGCAACACAGTGTGACATGCCAGTGCCTCCAGGCATTCATGTTAAATTGTTTTGGTTCTAATGAGAACAACAGTGTGGGTGTGGCACTTTCAGTTGGTCTTGTAGTGACAGCTGGCAAAATGCCCCAGCCAAAGGACCAAGGACAAATTGCTTCTTGAAGTAGTGCTCTCATGTTGAAATTCTTGTTTTCTGCTCTTGTCTGTAAGCGGACAGGTTGTTTCTTTATATTCTTTTCCTTAGTGTTGCGAGGAACTGGGAGTTAGTTATCAGAGAGAAAGGTATCAGCTCT